TATACAACGAAAGGAGACTGCGGCCTCTGATTCTGACTTCTAGGAAAGAGGAAGTGAGAAAACTAACTCAAATGCTTCTTGGAAATTAATATCATTAAGAAGCAATAGACCACAACAAACGAATGTTGATGAATAGATGGAAGGACGAAGATTATGAAATGAAAGCAAGAGGAGCAGAGGCAAAACGATGGATATGTCTACTTCGCTCGGAAGATTCGGCCAATACTAGGGAAGCCGAACATTCGAACAATCCTAAGGGAAAGGCCACCATCTTGCCTAAAAATATGAAGAAGTCAAGAAAATGGATGCTCCGAAGTTTACAACATAAACTGCAATAACTGTGAACCAAAATATATCGGAGGGACGGGAAGGACAATCAACACAAGGATCAAAGAACACCAGCGACTATGCAGAAAAATAAATAAGTAAAGCTCGGAGATATCTGTAAACCGACCACTCAATTGACTGGAGTGCAACGGGAAGACTGGTCTCAAATGGGAAAAATACAAGGATACGGAAGATCAAAGAGGCTGTAGAAATCTTTTTTTAAAGAAACCTGATGAACAGGAGACTAAAAGAGGGAAGAATAAGCGAGAATTTCGCGTACTGGCTGGGGAGACTTGGAGATTCAGCGAAGCTATCCAAAATAAGATATTTGCACCCAGAACAACTATTCAAAAACATGAAGAGACATCATAAAGGAGCAGCTCATGAGGAACGAAGGGAAGTCAAAAAAAGCGACTGAAAACAGAGGATTCAGATATGGAATTGGCTAAAAAAAAATTTACCCAGTGAGATGTAGGGTATGAAATTAAATGCTAAAGCTATAGATTGGCCAGATATAGGTCACCACTGTGAGCATTTTTCTTATCCATGTCTGAAAGAAAGGTGACTGGTTACATGCTTGACCTTGGGGGATACCAGTTAACACACTCACAGGAACATCATCCCAATGGGAATGCTAACTTAAGAGACAAGAAGAGTGTACTTTTCGTGATTCAAAAGACAGCGGAGCACTCTCACACTATCGGTTATGACTTAAGCGGGACACAGGGCCCCAAAGAATGAGAGGCATTGTGGGCGGGGATTAGGGAAAGGATACTCGAGTCATGGGTTTGAAGTCTAGGGAGAGAAAGATTCCTAGGCAGTGGCATTTGCATGGACATGGGCATCATATGCTCTAAATCTTAGAATATGGCGTAATCGAGGACGAGGATTGAAGGTTTTTAGGCATCCAGATTTTTGACAACCAAACCGTGATTTTGATGCTTTGCAGCGGCCACTTGACAAGCGGGTAGAAAAAAAAGGGGGGCAGAATTTAGGTCAGGAGCCCTACAAACAACATTGGTATTGTTGGTGGAGATGATTAGCCTTCACTTGTAGCCACAAATTTTTAGACGACATTGGAGGAAATGCGAGCACAGAATTGTGTGAATAAGTCGATGGGGCATATAAGTGGGGTTGAGAG